TACACATGTGCTGGAACCACCTAAGACAACTCTGCTGGGTCTGGGATGTGAATGGACGTTACTGACATGAGGCTGCCATTTGCCACCAGGTCGGGAAGCGAGTTTCTCTACTGCAGCACTCCTCAGAGACTTTTGAATACGCGAATGCTGTTCAACGGGACTCCACAAAGAGATAAAGCAGCCGGCGTTTCCCAAACCGATTGGCCACGGACCCTTGTGCTGCAGGTGCGTCAGGAAACACACTTTGAGAAATATCTGTGCAAAGCAGAGTTCTCAGCTGGCGTTACTGACATTTTAGGCTGGATCATTCTGCTGGGGGGCTGTCCTGTGTGTTCCCGCATCCCTGGCCTCGAACCATTAGACGCCAGGAGCACCCTCCCAGGTCAGGAAGAAACACCCCTACATTACCAAGTGTCTGCTGGGGGCAACATGCTCCCAGGTGGAAAGCCATCAGTGTGAAGCTGCAGAGAGAGGCACAGTCACATCCCTAACAAGGCTCCTGAGAAGACCCCGAGTGGCCGCAGGACAGCGACCCATTAGCACCCATGGCTGCATTGAGCCCAACAGGGTCTCCCAGATCAGCAGGGCCTAAGTGCCCCCGCAGGAGCCATGGTAGGACCGCACTTTCTCAGCTCATTCCCCAAAACCACAAACAGCTGGCAAAAGCATCACCCACTCTCTGCAGAAAGGAGCCCAACCCTGCAGTAAGCAGCTTGAGGCGACAGCTGAGTCAGCCGTCAACAGGCCAGGCGCCCCACATCCACCCAAGCAGTGCCCCAGTCTCAGTACCTATGCCATGCTGCCCTCTGCGTCACCCCGGAGCTGCTGCTCCACACCCTTCCCTGGGCTTGTCACCCTTGCAAACCTTAGGCAGCTCTGACTATTTCCTCTTTCATGCTGGTGGCAGTTACTGCAATACTTCCATTCCACAGATGAGGAAGCAGAGAACTTCCTAGATGACTTGCCCAAGGTCACACAGGGTATCTGGCCAGTGTCCTGATTTTAATCTAGCCCCTCCCTCCGGAACCCTCCTCCTGTGCTTCCTGATATGAGATCCCGGCCTCAGTGTCCCCAAACGGAGACTAGAGGGATTCATGGGGCAGTTTCCAAACCTCCAGGTGCTACCAGCAGGCACTGAAGTCCAACTCCTGGGGCCAGTTCATGGCCTCTGGGTCCTGATTCTAATTCGTACACATTTATCAAGTGCCCAGCAGGGGGCCAAAACCATCAGGGTGTATTACAGAATCAAAAGCTCAGAAAACAGGTTGCAGGAAAGGCCAAGGCAGGCAACAGATCTAGGGGCCGGGGTCTTAGAAAAAAGTGTTGGAGGTCAAAGACTGATTGGTCCAGAGCAAGCATGTTAAACGCAAAGGCTAACACGGGCCAAATAAACAAGGCCCATGGGCCAAAAGTTTGACATGCTTGGTCCAGAGGATAAGGGGTGTGTGAGCTGGGGGTCAGTCATAGGATCCGAGGGTCAGGGACTGGAAATCATAGACTAAGAGTTCTACATGTGGGGTCAAAGAGCAGGATCAGAGCTCAGAGGGGTCTCAGGTCACAGTTGTATGCTTAAAGGTCAGGGTCAGCCTCACCTGGTCCCCCTGGCGGGCGATGATGGTGCCGGCTTTGGCATGATGTAGCAAGACTCGGCTGTTCAGGAGGGAGGGGTCCTAGGGAGGGAGGGAGGTTGAGACTGGGCCAGCCAGGCCTCCCCCCACCCTCCACCTAGTCCCCCAGCTCCGGGGCCAAGGCCACCCACCTCAATCCGCATCAACTTGGCCAGCTCCCGCTTTGCCGCCTCGAAGATGCTGCTGGTCTGGCGGCCCTGGTAGGGCCCGAAGGGGCAGCCGCCGGTGGCCGACTCATCCTCACAGTAGCTGTACTCGCAGGCCCCTGCCGGCTGCTCCCGGGGCTCCTGAGTGGGAGTCTACATGGGACAGGTCTGTGACCTCCCTGCTCCTCAGGGGCCTCCGCCAGGGGAAGGGCAGAGAGGGCAGGGCCTTCCCCGAACAGGGACTACCTGGGGCCCCCCTGAAGCCTCTTCTTGCAGAGACACGGAAATCCGGCCACGTTCATATGCCATGTCGAAGTCTGAGCGGGGGCCTCCCTGCAAGCCTGCAGTGGGCAGGGGACAGTAAAAACAACAGACACAAGACTGACCACAACTGCCAACCCGTGTGACGTGACCAACCAGTGACTGCACTCCTCGATCCTCACCACAGTTGGGAGGGCATTATTCAATGAGCACCCATGAAAAAGTCAGCAGAAAGTGCTGCCAGGGTTTCCATTTGACAGATAAGAAAAATAAAGACTGGCCAGCCTGCATTCCAACCCAGAAGTTCGATGCCTCCCCCTCCCGGCCCCAGGCCCCAGACCTGAGATGTCCACTGGCATGGAGATGCAGCGGCTCAGCAGGGGGGCCGAGGGTGCTTCCAGGGATGTGGGCTTCACCAGGTCCCCTGAGGGAGACACGTGTTCAGGCTCCTCCATTGGGGGTGGGGAATGCAAGGGGGCCTGGGGAGCAGTCAACTCAGAGTCCCTGGGGACTAGGAGACTAGGAGAGGTACTTCCAATGGGTCTACAGCAAGCATGTCAAACTCAAAGGCTAACACGGCCAAATAAACGAGGCATACAGCCCGCAGGCCGTGAGTCTGACATGCTTGGTCTACAGGTCACTGGGGGACCAGCCAGGAGTCAGATCTGGGTTCCTAGCTAAGAGGCCACTGGAGCTCCAGCATGGGTCATCTCAGGTACCTGCAGGTCCAGGCAGAGGGGCCCCGGTGGGGTCAGGTGGCCGGCCAGGGGCCTCCCGAGGCTCCTCAGTTGCCGAGGTGCTGCCAACACGCTTGGAGCCTCGAACGGGGCTGGTGCGAGCTGGGAGGCCGGGGCTGGGGAAGAGGCGCAGGGGTTGGATCTCCTGGGGGCAGAGAGCACCTTATAGCAAGTCCTGGGAGGCATGTGCCGCTGCACCTTCCAACCCACCCCCACCCCGTGTTCTCCCAGCGACTCACATGGCTGAAGAGCTCATTGGTCAGACCCAGGTAGTTGTGGAGGGCCAGGAAGGTGACCCGCTGCAGCCGCACCATGATGATCTGCAGGGGCAGGCGTGGGCAGCAGGGGCGGAGCCAGAAGAGGGGCAGGGCCAGGAAGCAAGTCGGGCAGCAGAGGGGCCAAAGAAAGTTGAGAGGAAGCATTAAAGGGGTGAGGAGGCTGGGTGGAGCCAAGACCAAGGCTGGGAGCACTAAGGGGAGAGCAGAGCCACAGAGGCTCCAGCGAGGAACCCACAATGAGGTGGCAGAAGCCTGGGGAGATGGGTCAAGACAGCTAATGGGAAGAGTCGGGCAGCACAGAGGTCTGGCTGCTCAGGGCTAACCGCACAGCTTGAGAGGCTGCTGGGTCCCAGCCCGCGGGTGCCTGTGACGAGGGAGGTGGGAGGCCTGCTGACCTGCACCACCCGCACCAGGCTCTCAGGGTACTTGGTGAAAACTGCAGAGAAGGCCTCCACCGGCAGCCGCAGTACAGTGGAGTCTCGGGCTGCGCGGGCAGACACTGTACGCTGGGGGTGCTGGTGACCCTGGGGATGCAGGGATAGGAGGAGAATCAAGGTCAGGGGCTGAGAGTCCTCACTGCTCCCCCAGCTCTTCCTAACTCTAGTGCCTGGAGGAACCACCAGCAGCATCAGGAGACCGGGGCCTCTCCAACCCGGTCCACGGGGTGTGGCGCTGAACCCCAGCCGCCTTGCCACTCCAAACTGGTCACTCACAGTGATGACATCCAGGATGCTCAGAAGGCTGTTGACACTGTCCCCGGGGACTACCTCCTTCACCACACACTCCTTCCCATCCTGTAACACATGGCGGTGGGAGTCAGGGCAGTGACCAGGGCTGCCAACCAGCATGCCATCTCCAACCACACCACTGGCCCTCACACTCACCCACCCGTGATCACTGATGCCCCGATCTCTGACCCCACCGAACCTTCTGACCAGCACCCACTTCTTGCCCATAACTAACTGCAACCACTGACCAGCCCAGATACCCTCGGGCATCTGCTCCCAATTTCTGCCTGCACATCTCAAGACCACCAGCCCTATGACCAACAGCAGTGCCTGTCCCCAGTGGCCACTGCATCACTGCTTGTCTCACTGCATCCCCCTTTGGGCAGCACGTACAGGCCCTGGCAGGCAGAGCTCCAGCAGCCCGTCCTGCACCACATAGATGCTGGCATCTGGCTGGCCTGGCCGGAAGACGTAGTCACCCTGGCTGAGCCGCTGGAAGATCATGTGCCGGCAGAGCTCCAGGAAGAGTGGCTTCTCGAAGTGGCCCAGCACCCTGTGGGATGGGGGAGGGGAGGAGGAATGCAGGTCAGATCAGCACCCGGCTCTGCAGCCCCAGCCTGCACTCCGACACTGACCGGACGTTCTTCAGCATGTAGAGCACCTCGGAGGGCAGGTGGGAGTTGGCCAGGTCGCCCTCGGTCAGGTCAGCCTCCAGCACGGCAGGCGGGGGCTCCTTCCGCTGCAGTGTTGGGGTCTCTTTCTGGATGCGGAGGATCCTGGTGGGAGGAGAAAGGTATGGGGGTGAGCAGGGAGAAGGCACGGGCAGACTTGAGATCCTCATATACCCTTTCTCCTGAGTCACAAAGAATAGGGATCAGCAAATTCTGGCCAGGCCCCCCATTTCTTTTTTGTACGTAAAGTTTTAGTGGCACATAGGTACATTCATTCATTCATGTCCATGTTGTCTGGCTATTTTCATGCTACAACAGAGTTGAATAGTTATAGCAGAGTTGTATGTGGCCTGCACAGCCTAAGATGTTTACTACCTGGTCCTATACAGACAACCCTGAGATCACTCCTCCACTAGTCATAGGCCCCTGAAATGGACCCTCTAGTTAGACCCTGGCATAGCTTCTAAGACACGGGCAGACTTTAGAAAAAACACCTGTTCGTCATGGGACCCCTGACATAGTCCTTCCAGCAATCACACCAGACTCTGAGATAGCCCTTCTAATGTAGGCAGACCCCTCGCGTAACTTCCATTATATGAGGAGACTTCAGATACAGCCGCTCTGCTCTTCATAAGGTCCCTGAGCTAATCCTTCCTCCCAGGTCTCAGAGAACCCTGAGACAGCGCTCATTACATGTGGAGAACCCAGGTATAGCCTCTGCTGTTCATAGGCCTGGGAGAGCCCTTCCCCGCACGTCAGTTACTCTGACAGCCTCCACACTGGTCACAAGATACCTGAGATAGACCCTCTAGTGTGAGCAATTCCGAGTTAAACCCCATGATACAGAGAAATCCAGACGGAGCGCCCCATCTGAACAGGGAGGCCCCTGGGCGAGCCCTTCCCCTCTGATGGTCATGACAACATCAGGGCAGACACTGAGATGTGGAGACTCGAGATACGGCGTCTGATCACGGAGAACTAGAGACAGCCCCCGCAAGCCACAGAAAGTCATGTGATAGGACACGCTGGTCATGGACAGCCCTGGGACAGGCCTTCACATCTCATGAAGTGGATTCCATGATGGTAGGAGACCCCACAGCCAGCTCGCAACTTAAGATCTCCGGAAGAGCCTTCCTCAGACCCTGAGGGCGTCCTCGCTAATGACAGGCACCCCTAGATGTCCTTCCTGTTTCTCGTGCAAGAAGACTCTAGAGATAACTCCCAGGGAACACAATCCCTGACACAGCCTCCTTACGAGGGAAGAACTCCAAGGTAGGTGACATGGAGAGATGTCTTCTGAGGTAGCAGGACTGCTCAGATAACCCGGGAGAACAGAGCCTACAGAGAGCTCTTCCAGCTGAGATAACCCCAACGCGGCACCCCTGTGAGGAGACCCATGAAACAGCCTACCTAGAAACCCCAGATAGAGACCCCACAAGGTGTCAGAGATACTGACTGAAGAGCAAATAGCTCATAGATAACCTCTAGGGAGAGGCGTCGCTGGCAGGGGAGTATCTCTGAGAGAGCCTAGCCCTAGGGGGACAGCCTGTCTGGTGAGGCAGCTCAGGAATGGCCTCGCTGATGTGAAGACTCCCGACAGCCCACGAGGTAGAAAGAAGCTCGAGATACATGGGCTGATAACTCAAACAGCCCCTGAGGTCGCCCCGGGGCCAGGGGCACTCGCACAGCCTTACTTCTTGGCAATGTTCAGCATCTTGAGTTTCTTCTTCATGCGTGGCCTGGACGCGGCGGAGACGGAGGTGTCCACCAGGGAGGAAGTGGACTGTGACACCTAGCATAATTAAGGGGAAGAGCAGTCAGCTGCTAGCTCAGACCCTAGGGACGAGGGGTGTCAGATGCCTGAGTCCTTAACCAGGGAGGAGGGGTTTACAGGAGTTGTGACTAAGTGAAGGGCAGGGCTTCTGCGTGGCCAGCGGGAGCCTGTTGGTCCTGGACTCACCTTCCGCATAATCTTCCGGCCATAGAAAAGCACTTTGTCCCTCTTCCGGAATCGGTACCGCGGGCCCTCCGGGGCGGGGGTTTCTAGGATCAGGGGAGAGGGGCACTCAGCTTTGCGCAGACGCCACGCGGCCAGAGAGGACACTGCGTGCAGACCCTAGCCAGTCCAACCCCGCCTGCCTCCGGAGCCGGCATTTCAGCTCCCCACGACGCAGCCTCCCCAGAGGGACCCCAGGGGTCCTCACTCGGCACTCGAAGCCTCCGCACTAGCAGGAGGATGAGCACGGCAGTGACCAGCACGGCGACTCCGGCCCCGATCATCACGCCCAGCACCTGCGGGACGAATGGCACTGGCTGCGCATCGCAAACCCGCCCCACCGAGCCCTCCCCGGGGGCCAGGACGTCCTGGACCCCATCCCACTGCGCTACGTCCACACCCGAGACGTTCACAGCGGCCCCTGTCTTCTGTGTCTCCATCTGCAGAATGGGACAGCGCGACTCCCCCCCAGGGCGGGGGTAGGAGGCGGCGCGACTCTTCCCGGCGGCTCTGCCGTCCGCGCGGTGCACGCCGGGAAATATAGTTCCGCCTGAACAGACATTGCCCAGTTCTTGCGGGACGCGCTGAGCACGTCGGGAGTTGTAGTCCCCGCGGAGCCTCGCACCCTCGGAGCTTTACCATTCTTGCATGCAGAGGGGCCTCCACCAGCTGTTTCTGGCGGGTCGACAGGTTTGGTAGCCCAGAGTCCTGGGAATCAAGAAGCAGGAGGAACCCGTCACTCTGGGCCCGCCCTTCCCCTGCCACAAGCCCTGTCCCTTCGTACCCGCAGCCTGGGTGGGGGAGAGCTATAGGGGCGCGGCAGGGCCGAGGGGTGGGGCAAATTGACCTCGGGTCTAGGGAGTGAGGCGTGTCTCCGGTCCCGCCTGGCTCTCTTCACTTAGCACCTGGGCCGACCAGCCGCTCTACCTGTCCAACCCCCACCCTAGGGCCAAAGGGCTGCCGCCGGGCACCCGCTATGCGCAGCCAACGCCCGGGTTCCCCAAGGGCAGGGCTCCTTCACGCCGGCCTCTACCCTACGGGATTAATCAATCCTGACCCCCCCCCACCCCCCCGGCCAAGAAAACTAGAGCCTAAGCTAAGGGGTCGGGTAAGATGCCTGGCTCCTGGCTCAAGCCTGCCCCGGGGAAGACCCAGGGGCTGGGGCGCGTGGGGTGCTACTGGGAGCTCCTACCCAAGGGTGAAGCATAGTAACCTCCATCAGGTAAAAACTGCTGTTTAAAAATTTAACCCTGCTATTCTGGCTTCTGTAAACGTTTTTTTGCTTAAATAATAGGGAAAATAAGACTACTCCCCATTCCAGAGAGGCCATAAACTCTGCCCCGGAGTTGTCAGTGCTGGCGCCAGGCCAGGCCTTGAGATACGGTCTCACTGCCCTGTCCCAGCAAACAGGACTTTTTCTTAGAAGGTCCAGAAGTCTAGTTCCAAATTTGGAAAACAAAGAGCTGAAAAACATATAAATAAGGGAGACTTCCACCATATTGGGCCCCAGAAATTGAGAAGCAAGAGTTCCTCTGGGCCCGCTAGTGCTGGCGAAAATGACCAGGACTCCAAATAAATTGGGCTTGTTGATGAAGGCGTCTTCTGATTTACAATATAACGAGGGGTCTTGGAGGGTGCCGAGGTCTTGGAAGGGTCCTGGGGCTCTGGGAGTGAGTGGGATCCGGGACGTTACTGGCTGATGCTGGAGATCTACGGTCACGTGATAGCAAACAGAGCATCCCTGGGACTCGATGCTGGCGGCCGGGATTACTGGGGACAGTGAAAAATCACCGAGATTCTGAGGACAGAACTATTACTGGGAAACCCGGGAGCTGGAGCGCACGTCCCTGGGGTCGTTCCGGGACGAGCGCGCCGGCTCCTTGGCAGACACGAGGAAAGCTGGACTATTACTGCGACTTTTCCGAGAGGCTGCGAAGGCTTCTGGCTTCGCTAGAGTATTAATGGGAGTTTAAGGTAATTGGACCCTTGCGACATTACCTGGAAAATCCAGGGCGGGGTGGGTGGATGGGACTAGTCCCCTCCCACTTTAGGGAGCACCTGGCTCCCGGTGCAGAAACCGGGGAATGAGCATCAGAAAGTCGGGGGCGTCCATTAGTCAGCGGAGGACTGATCTTGGGAAAGCCGAGGACTCGCTCACAACCCCCGAAGGCGGGGATGGAAACGCGGACTCACCCGGAGGCCGCAGCCGGGATGCACTCTGCCAACGCCGCTGGAGTCACCCCCAGCGCGGCCCCTTTAAGTTATTCGCCGAAGGCGCTCGAAGCCCCGCCCCGCCCCGCCCCGCCGAAGGGAAGGCCGCGGAGCCAGGCCGAGTGTGGCGACGCCTTAAAGGGGCTGAAGACGAGGGGCTCTTGGAATGCACCTCCCGCTAGAAATGGGACCACCACGTGTATTTTGCCTTTTTATTTAACATCCACCCTACGCTTGTCCGACCCAGTGGCCCACGCCTGCACAGGGTGCGAGAGCCAGTCCTAAAGCCACCCCTAAAAACGGCCGGCCCGGCTCTCTGCGGTCCGCGGTCCCGGGTCCGGGTCAGTTCACCAGCAGCGGTCGCTCCTCCGAGGCGTCCCTGGAGGAGGGCAGTGTCAGGGGGCGGGCAGGCGGCAGTTCCCCGGCAGCCAGGCCGAGCCGCTCCCGCGGCGGAACTTGCCGGAGGTGGGGCTGTCCTGGCACTGCGCGATGTAGGCCTGCAGCTCGCTGGGCTCCACGCCCGTACTGCCCGGGTGCTGCGGAGAGATGCGGGTGGCCGGCGTGCAAGGGGCTCCTTGGATCTGCCCTCCCCCACCTCCTCCTCCTCCATCTGGGTCTCCTCGCTGTCCTGTCCGGAGCGGCTCCCACCTCTGGGCCCTTGTGACTCCAGGAAGACCTCCCTGTCTCCTGGATGCATGGGATGTGCGACCCCGCGCCTGGGCCAGGTGGCGCCCATCTACTCCTCAGTGGGTGGACACCGCAGCTTTCAGCGACCCCGGCCTTTGCCCTCCGCCTCGGGAGGGAGCCACCATCTCTTCCCCAAGTTCTTCTGGCTATGTGGCCTTTGCTCCAGGTGCCCCTTCCCCCTGGTGCTCCCTCTCTTGGGATCCCACCTCTCAATCTAGAACTTTCTGATAGGATGGAAAGGTTTGATTCTAGGGTGTTCAATCAAGAAACCGCTAGCCACATGGGCTCCTAGGCACTTGATGTGTGGATGGTGAGTGAGGAACTGAATTTTGGAATTGTATTTCATTTTAATTAAAGTCACAATTTAAATAGTCCCATGAGGTTAGAGGCTCGTGTTGAACAGCACATTTTAGAGACTTTCCTTGCTTCCGAGCTCTCACAGGCAGTGATCATACTCCTGCTCATGCATTATCCGTCTTGCCCACTGGCTCTGGCAGCCTGTGTACACCTCACCTTGTTTCCTAGAGGCCTGGCCCAGCACAGGGCTTGGCTCACAATGGGCCCTTGGACACGCTGTCTATATCCTGCCTACCTGCCACCCGCACATTCTGCTCTGCCCCTTTCTCTCCTCTAACCCCCACTGTCTGCCCCCACAGGACAGAGGGTGAGGAGCAAGGCTTCCTGGTGGAGCCTGGTTTCACCCCTGGTTGCTGACCTTGGTAAGTCACTGGAACTCTGCGGCCTGGTGTCCCTGTTGGTAAAAGCCGACTCGAGAACCCTACCTGGCCGGAGCTCACCTGATCAAACAGTCCCACCTGTGACCCCTAATTTCCAGCCACCACTTCCTGTGGCTTTGCAGAGTCTCCCACATTCTCTCCCTGGCTCCTTCTCTCCTCACCCCGCCATGTCCTCTGAGACGCGCCCCCCCCACCCACCGCCCCGTGGTGGCCTCCAAGGGACACGGTTGGAGCGGTGTGTGATGTGGGTTGGCCCCATGGGGAGGCAAGCTGGAGGGGAAGCGCGGCTGACCTTGATGGCGTCATAGGCACCGGTGATGAGCGCGATGAAGAGGCTCAACACCATGTAGATGAAGAGGCTGATGAAGGAGTAAAGGTAGATCTGGGAGAAGAGCCAGACGAGGCTGCTGCGGCCCTGCTGCGTCTGCATCGCCGCAAACGTCACAAACATGTCATCCCCATTGATGAGCGAGAACAGGCACTCCGACACCATGGACAGCGAGCGGAACTGTGGCCGGGCAGTGAAGTCAGTGGGATTGTAGGGAGGGAGGGGGCTGGGCGGGGGCACCGGGAGTCAGAGGGGACGGCAGAGTACTAGTTACAATGGGGCCACCTGGGGTTCACTATGCAAGGACAGTGCCCTAGAGTCAAGGCCAGGGTTACCAGGGGTCAGAGGGACAGTGGGCAGAGTATCAGCAGTTACAATGGGGTCATTTAGAGTCGTCATGTCAATAAGGTCATAAGGCCAGAGTCAGTGGGCAGAACCGCTGCAGACCTCTTGGTAAAGTACAGAGGGTCACGCAGTGTGTCCAGGTCAGTGAGAGTTAAACCGGGGGCCGAGGGCTTGGGACGTAGGCTCGGAGGAAGGGAGCCAGAGAACCTTCACCTGTGGGCCGTGCACCCCCACAGCCCTGCTGGTCCCTACCTTCACGTGGTAGGGCCCCAACACGATCCAGCCGCAGAAGCAGTAGCCCAGGTAGATGACAGCCACACAGCAGCAGAAGCGCATGACGCTGGGCAGGGCCACCCGCAGCGTGGCGATGAGGATCTGCAGCGGGCAGATGGCTGGTGGGGGCATGGCCACAACCCTGGTTGTCAGTGCGCACGGGCGAAGCGGGCAGGGCCTGGCTGAGGGTACAGCTGGGGAGCTGAGAAGGGGGAGCCTGCAGCTGAGGGCCAGGCTCACACGGTCCCTGCTCAGATTCAGTGACAGGCACGTCTGGGCGGACAGGTAGATGGCTGAAAGGCCCATGACGGGTCCTCTGCAGGGGCTGGTGACTGCGCATGAGGATGAATGTGGGAGGTGGGAACTGGGGGGCGTGTGGCTGTCACCCGGAGGGAGGGCCCGGCTGCACCCACGCAGGCTCACATTGTACTTGTGGAAGAAGGTCAGGTAGCGGATGACACCGACCCAGACCAGCAGCGTCGAGGTGCCCAGGAGGATGCTGCAAACATCGTAGCTGGCCAGGTTCTAGGAATGGGAGCAGTGTCAACCACATCTGGCTGGGGAATGTGGCCCCAGGTGGGCATCGGTGGGGGCAGTATAGCGGCCAAGGTCTGGAAGGGACTGCCGTGGCCCTGGGCAAGGTGTGGGCAGGACCCACCTTAGCTTCAATGCCGATCTTCATGATGGTGCCAGAGATGGTGAGCACATCGCTGGTAACCAGCAGGATGTACCAGCCGTTAACAAATTCCAGCCGCTCCCACAGGCTGATGGCCCGTCCCCGCTGCCGCCACATGAACCCCACAAACTCCTGCAGGAGGCAGGCGGGGTGAGGGCTTTTCCAGGCACGGAAGCCTCGTGCCACCCACAGCCCGTATGGCCCCAGAACTGTCTGGGCAAGGCAGGTTTGGGGACATGTGACGCTGGAATGGCTCTCACATTCTGCAGCAGGAAGCCACGGAGCA